CAGAAGAACAAGCCCTGGCCTCTGAGGACACAGTTCAATCTTTATCTATTCAGTCAGTCATTGACTTTATGACACTGGAAGAATGATTATTGAAGCCATGGTTAATAAATGATGCCCATTTAAGTATTTGGGGACTTGTGTCTGAATTTAGAGACTCCAGGGTAGATTATGCTACCTTAGGTAACTAGGTTTTATTTTAGGAAATGAAAAGAAAAACTAATAGCTAATTGACCTGGGCCTGGAAAATTTCACGACATACAATTTATCTCTATGTTTTCTTTTCTTTGAGAGGGTTAATCAGCTCTTTCAAGAATAGAGAGATGAATGAACATGAAGAAATTGAGAACATTAAAAAGAGCCCAAGCAAATGGTTACTAGATGCTAGTCAGGCGAAAATAAATCTTCTTGATTTGAATGGTATCTGAAAAACACTGAGGGCTCAGGCCAGAAATGGTACTCTGCTATATATTGCCTAAAGTCTTTGAAATTTATTAATCTAGAGTATATAAATAGAAATTCACCAATAGTGAGTTTCAGAATTAGGAGTTAGTTAAGACTTAACAACCAGTGAATGTCAGGAGAAATCTTAGTTTGCATTCCTTGACCAATAGTCTCAACAATGACAATTAACTATAACTGGCATGTACTTCAAACTCCAAATGCTCTAAGAAAGAACATGGGAATACATGATAGAAGCAAATACATTGTCCTTTTATACTTGAATACACCCAGTTGTTTCTACCAACAAGATAATCATGTTGACTTTTGTTGTGTTTTTTTTTTTTTCCTCCTAATAAAAGTGTAAGCCTGGCATGGTGGCTCATACCTGTAATTCCAGGGGCTGGGGAGGCTGAGACAGGAGGATTATGAGTTCAAAGATAGCCTTAGCAAAAGCGAGGCACTAAGCAACTCAGTGAAACCCTGTTTGTAAATAAAGTACAAAATAGGGCTGGAATGTGGCTCAGTGGTTGAATGCCCCTAAGTTCAATCCCTGGTACCCCCTCCAAAAAAAAAGTGTATACTGAGTATACACAATTTTTTTTTAACCTCAGGATGTATGGGGATATTTGCAATGCTGCAAATGTTCCCTGCTGTGAAGCTATATCTTTTTGCAAACCTAAGCATTCTATTGATAGATTTTTTCTTGTAAAACATACCATTTAAGCAATGAAGCTAATTGGTTTCCATGTATTTATACTCATGGGTAAGTTTAGAGAAACTATCCACTAAGTATTTACTGTTACCCAGAACTTTTCTAAGGATACTAGGATGCAAAAGAAGTAAATGAATAGCCTCTGCACTCAAAGAATTAACAATCTTATTAAGGATTTAAGATTTACATGAATTATTAAAATAGTAAATAATGTAAGTCATTCTACTTCCAGGCAAAAATGTATCTTATAGACACAAAATCAATGATTCTCAAGTTTAAGTGTACATAGATATTAGGTAGGAGCCAACTAAACATGAAGATTCCCAAGCCTCATTTTGATCCTATTCAGCAAGTATCTGCATTTTTGTCCAGCATTCTAGGATATTCAGATGCAGTTGGACCAAGGACACCCTGGGTGGGTACATGCAAAGTCAGGGACTAGGAACTTGGGCAAAGAATGGAATTGTCAGGATGGTTTATAGAGAGCAGCAGATTTGAGATGAGCCTGGAAAATCAAACTTCAAGGATGAGACAGAGAAGGGAATTGTATTCTTGGAAGAGGGAGACGCTTGAAGAAAATCACAAATTTGAGAATAAATATGACACAAGAAAGAAACAACCAGAAATGGTTCTGAGAAAAGAATGTGGAATGGGGAATTCCATTCCCCATATGCTGGTTGTCTGCGCAAGCACAGAAGATGATCCAGCTTCTTTAATAAAGATAAGGAACTCTTCTTTCCTTTGTGCCTTAACCAGAGTTTCATACAATTTATGTCCATTCATAATGCTCAATGGAAAACCTCAGATCTGCATCCCTAAATTTATCAACGAGGTGCCTACATACAAATTCCAGATTTGATGATTAGAGTTTAATGTCAAATGAGTAGGCATTATTGTAGACACATAACATAGTACAAAAACTATTGCTTTAGGAACCAGAAATAACTGTATTCAAATCAATATGCTAATTAGTAGTTGGAATATTTTACTCGACCTCTTTGAATTTTTTTTTCCAAATGGACAAAATATAAATAGTAATAATACAGATATATAGAACTTATATTGGGTTTTGAATATTAAATGAGGTGGCAAATGTAAACTTTCTGGCACAGAGCAAATAATAATAAATATATCAACAGTATTTATAATTCTTTATTTTCTTTTTGCAGTATTGGTGATTGAGCCTAGGGTGTTGTGCAAGCTGGGCAAGTGCTTCACCACTGAGCTACAGTCCCAGCAACATATATATACGTGTGTGTGTGTGTATCTCTGTGTGTGTGTGTGTGTGTGTGTGTGTGTGTGTATATATATATATATATATATAAAATTTTATTTTGTAGGCAGGGTCTTGTTAAGTTGCCGAGGCTGGCCTTGAACTTGCAATCCTCCTGCCTCAGCCTCCTGAGTAGATGGGATTACAGACATGTGCCAACACCCTGTTTTTATATATATATTTGTAAAGAACATGTTTTAAATGGTGTAATCCATGATCGTGCAATGGTGTGGTTTAATTTGGATTAAACATAGCACAATTTGATATATTAAGAGATTCATGTTTTCTGTAGAAAGAACAGGTAAAGATTGACAATTGTATCTGATCTGGATTTGGCCTGGAACTGACCAATCACATGACTCAATTTAAAGGAAGCCTGAAGACATGTGCCCAAGAAGCCCCAAGATCTCCTGGAGTTTTATTCCCTGGTTAGTGTTGCAGACATCCAACTCATATTGATCACTCATATTTAATGGAATTATTGTGTTAGTGCTTGTCTCTCTGTGACAGCAGAGAGAAGAAAATCACTGAGGGACAAGAGAATGGCTGGACATTAAACAGAAGGTAGAACCATTTTGTAATCATGGATAGCCATGGAAGATCAAGCTAGTAATTTAGCTTCAGTCTCCATAGGAGGGTCCTGAGTCTTCCTCTAGTGAGAAATGGGCACCAGAAGAGAGGCACAGAACAGAGGCGCTAATAAATGGCAAGTGCTTTTCCTTTAGCCTCTGCCTGGTTTAAGTGCTACAGTTCCCTGCATGTATGTATGGGCCTTCATTTCCCTTAAATGTCACACAGATGCCTTTTTATTTTTTGGTGTCATCTCACTAGGTAAAATCATCTAAGAAAGTGAGGTTCAAAAGGTCTCACCAGGTGGCCTAAAGAAATCTGAGAACAGAAGTGGTTTCTTCAAAATATAGACCAAAAAAACGCATGCAATGAACAAGACAGGGTGATAATGGAAAAAAAAAATAAGTATCACGACTCATTTTAGCAATTCAGTTCTTCTAATGTGTTTTTTAAACATTATATTGTTACTATTTATTTATTATTGCTCACTATTTATTACTAGTAAATGTCTTTTCTTTCATCTGAGAAATCTGTGATATAATACACCTTTCTGATTTGGAAAGTTATTTTTCTGTTTACTAGTCTGATTTTCCTGAACCACTGCATGTAATTTGTCTAGAAATTTATATTTTTTTTAAGAAAGAAAAATGCTGTTTCGTTTATATTAATATGGTGAGTGCTGGTAAAGGAAATTATTTCCTTGACAGGAAAAGAAATCAGAGTTACATTAGTGTAGAATTAGAAATAAGGTCTAAATGCTAGTCATAGATTACATAGGACTAAGGTTATTTGTGTCAAGAAAAACTAATGATAAATTAGAGGAGGGCTTGGAGTGTGTTTTCTTTATATCCAAGGCTGAGTGCATAGTAGTTACTTAGTAGAGGTTTAATGCATAATTAATTCACATCACAATGAGAAACTAACTAGAGTCCCTATCTCTAAGGAGTTTCAAAATATAGTTTGGAACAGCTCCCATCTTCACACATGCTCACATTTTAACTAATGTTAGTGTGTGTATATTTGCACACACACACAATATACACCTTGGATAATCCTAGCGCCTCTTCTCTGTGCAGATTTCCTGATAATTACAAGGTCAACATCAGCAGTGTGTAACAATTCAAGCCTATGAAGGTCTAAAAGCAGAAAGCTTGTGTAAGATTTTATGGTTACTTTTGGTTTCCTATCAGAATGACAATAGGCTCTAAGAGATACAAACTTTGCATTCAACCTAGAGAGGAAATTTGCCATCAATTTGTTTATTAGTTTTTATTAATTATATAGATGAGGAGGCTTCATTGTGTCATATTTGTAAATGCATATAACAGGCTTTCATCATTTGCACCCCAATCCTACCCACCCTCCTTTCTCTCTCCTCCCGAGGCTGTCCCCTTCATCTTCACGTAGATACACAGTAGTGTATGATTCTGCCATTATTTTTGCAGAAGGCTGCCTCAGTACACAATCTGCAAAGCACCTGGAAAATTCCTCAACACCCAAAACTCTCCTTTTTCCACTGGCATACACTGAGATACTTACTACTGGAGTTGCCATTTCAATTCAGAAATAGATAATAGACTTTCGTAGAAAGGACACTGGAGACTCCTGTGGAGACGGGCTCATACACCACCACAGTGCGGTGATAACTCCTGTTAGGAGACATTGAGACATCAAAAGGGCAGAGGGGACGGGATGCAGTGTGGGCAAAGGCAGCCAACTTCACCATTCTGCCTTCCCTGGGCTTCTCATTCTAGAATTAACTTGTACGAAGAAAGAAAGGAAAACACAGTATTCCTTTTGATTTCTTGCAAACGCTATTGGGCTTATCTCTCTATTTTAATTGTGATAGTAAAACAATAAAAAAGGAGATTTAATTTTAACTAATGTTAGTCTGACTAGGGCAGTGAATGAAGGTGGTGTGCTGGAAAAATATTAATCCAGGTTGGTTATTTAACACCTGCCTTAATTTGAGGAAGATGCTTTCCAACCCACCTGCTCCAGACAATGAAACTCCTCAGTTATATTTTGGCTTATCGACAATTTCTCCTTGTGGTGTTCAGTGTGCTGGTTTTACTCCCGCTTCCTCTCGTCCTCCACGCTAAGGTAGGTAAACCTGGAGACTACTGGTGGGTTTCCTGATTTATATTAATTGTCCTTTATTCCGGTTGCTTATTTGCTTGGCACAGAGCGGAATGAGTGGTGATACTTTATGCTTGAAGTCAGGATGGTTTTTCATTGTGTTTGGTCATTTTCCTCCTTTTTAATGGTTAATGTTACTTGATTCTCAGTATGATTAACCAGAGTCATTGAATATCCCAGTCAATTGGAATTTTTCTCTGTCAACTAGATGACAAGAAAAACAGATGAAGTTCAACCCTTGAGATCTCCTGGTTCAAGTTACCCACCCCCAGGAAATATCCCAGCAATGTGACACTGGAGTAGAGAGCGAGAGGAATGATGGGGAATCTCAGAGTTCAGTTCTGTAGCTTGGTGCAGGTCATAGAACATCCTGGAAATTTAGTTTCCTTGTGGCATAAGGAGATAGTGAAAGCATGAAGTAATTTTCCTTGTCTAATCAGAAACTTTAATAAATCATTGTATCGTGTTATGGTAATTTTGGATTTTATTTCATTATTACTGCTCTTGGAAACATTTTTCTGTTTGCTTTAGAAAATAATCAGTGTACTAAGTCCAGAATAATAAACTCAATGCATTTTAATCTCATGGTGAAGTGATTTGAATAATTAAAAAAAAAAAACTTAGTGAGTGAGCACCTTCTCTATGCCAGCCACAAGTGTCACCTGGTGGCAATAAAACAGGCTTTGGAGCCAGCATCTTTGCTTCAGGTCCCAGATTTAGCACTTGCATGCTGTGTGACAGGAATAAGTTCCATGGTTTCTCTGTTCTTCTGTTTTGTTTTATCATATGTAAGTTGGAATGATGGCAGGCTTACTGTGAGGATCATATGGTAAATGTTCATCAAGCACTTACTTGAAGCAGCTTCTGGCTCTCAGTAAGTGCAGCATCCTGGGCCTCCCAGTGGTTGACTCCACAGCTGGGGCAATTCCCACCATGCCACGATGCACATTCACTTCTCTTAGTGGAAGAGAACATTGCTGATGTTCTTCTCTAGCAAGCCTTATTCAAGGTTAACAAAATACAATCATATTAATTGTAATACCATGGGCCCTCCTACCTCTGTCAGAAGTCTTTGGCACCTATCTGGGAATCTCTAAGGGAAATCCTTGTGAAGTTATAGAAAGATCTTTTAGACTCTGCTAAGGTCTATTCCACCTGCAATGCTAGCAAAGGGACTAGCCCCTGCTTCACAGTGGGAGGTTGCCTGAAAGGAGACAACCTACCAGCTGCAGCACCCCAAGGGGAGATCCCTTTTCCTGAGAATAGGTCCCAGTGTATACTGGCAGCCACAGCATATGGCAAAACAGAGGCACCAACCCAGGGCTATAGTCTGAATTCCCCCTTCACTCCACAGAGAACTTGATATTCCATCTAATAGGCATGATGCCTTCCCTTTCTATTCCACCCCACCAGGGTCCCATGGTTTTCCCCAGACCTGGGGAAATGAATGAATCATGAATCCTATCATGATTACATCTTGGTTCATACCTGGCCCCCTGCTATAGTTGAATATTTCTGCATTAGTCCAGGCATAAGTTCTTTGCTCGGCAGAGAACACAGGAAATTAAATAATCAAGGCAAATTTAGATCATGATGGCACATTAACTGTGCTTCTCCTTTGACATATGAACACATGACACTCTATCACCCATAATTTAAAAAAAAATAAATGTAAATTCATTGAAACAGAGAACAAGTAAATAAATAAAAAGCAATGGTTTGAGTGTATGATTTGTTAGCTGGAAAGTACACCATTGCTAAGAAATGCAGCCAGTGATTTCTTTGTTCCAAGATGCTATGGCAAAAATACATTAGGTCTGTGCAATCCCAGGAGCATTAAGATGCATTTGTGAACATGCTCCTCTTTTCTTTCCTTCTAATCAACTCATTTGTTAAAACTCAGTGGATGTTAATAGGAGTTTTTCCCAGTATGATAATATGATTTCATTTTTTGGCCACTTTAAATACATATTTAATCATTCCATCAGCTGCTATTTAAACTTAAAGAATATCATTTTAACTCTTTCCTACAATGAAAGCAGTACATCTTTTCCAGGGTATTTGGACCTTTTAAACGTATGAAATTTAAGTAGAGGTTTACTTTGACTTGGATGCAAAGCAATTTACTATTAACTTTTAGGTTACTAACTAGAGAAATCTGTTTGTAGAGACATTGTAACATGAAGAATTTGAACAAAGCAAAAGCCAAGATTGTCTTTCAAACCCACGATAAATCTACATAATACAGAACCAATGAACAATGAATTATTGACTGATATTTTTATTTTCCTACTTACTGGCCATTGAGTAATTTTTATAGATGGTTCTCCTACCTTAATTCCACCTCCTGTCAAAAGTGTGTCATTAGTAGAGACCCTGGGAAGATTTTCAAGGTAATGTTGAAAAGGAAGGAGAAAGGACTGGCTTTGCAAAAGAGCACACTTCTGTTCAGACATTCTGACAACCAAGTTGCCCAAATTGTCTTATTTACCCTTCACTGAAAACCAACAAGTGATTACCTATGTGCTATCATTCTTATTTCACATTGGAAGGCCTCAGTAAAGGCCATCAAGATGCTATAGAAAATGGTTTTAAACTTGGGTTTTGTCAGAACTCAGAAGTCATGGATTAACAGTGATTTTGTTTTAGACTTTTCTATATATTTTGTTTTTGAAGATTTACTCTCAGTGGTTTTTTAATCATTTATCAGCAACTCAGGTAGTTCTCTTTATCATAGAGTTCCTGACAGGCAGAACAGCAGGAGATCTATCTTAGCCACTTCCTCAATTGACATGATGCCAATCAAAGTCTTTAAGCTAGAGCATTGTAGTGACTCTAATCACTGGAGAGAGTTCTTTGAAAACTGAAGCAAGGGACTACTCAGAAATGTGACAACTGCTCATTGTCCCAGAGTCCCAGCTATACAAGCCGGGCATGTCGGTGCATCAAGATATGATACCACTTAACTTCATACCTGTGCTATTGGGCTAGTATACTAATTTCTCTAGCTGGCAGGGACCTTGGGACTGTGTTTTTCAGTGTTTTCATGGGAATGATATTTTCTGGCAAAGGAGAACATGTTTCACCCCAGGAGCTTGTGGACATAAGTCAAATAGAAGCACAAATTTAATCTTTATGAATTCTGTATTATTATTATGATCCAAAATGTGCTAATTAGAAAAAGAGACAAAATCATGTAAGTTGGCTATGCAGAAGTTTTCAATCAACATCTGTCTGACCAGAGCCAGCAATCTTAATTACAACTGAATATGTGTGTCTTTTCAGCTTCCATGGTAGTAACAAGGGCATTCCTATTGCACTGGCATGGATTTACCTTTCCTAAAGAACTTTTGTTTCCTTATTTATTTATACTGATGCACCACAAATATTTTACAATTGTCACCTAAAGATAAAAGTACCCAGTTCTTCCCCTATTAGTAGTTAATGATCAGTAAACAAGCTTATAATATAACTCCTATTTGTTTATTTAAATGAAATATTTACACTGAACTTTCTCATTTTGGAAAGGAAAGTCCTTAAGTATTTCACAATAAGTTGTAAAAACCAGTCTCAGTTACATGCCATAGTTATAATGAGGTTCCCTACACAACTGTGATCTTCTATGACTATTTCTATCATTTTGTAAATTTTAGTACTATTTTATTACTTATTTTTCCAGAGCTTGGTTTTTCTCTATATTTCTATTCCTGAAACAAAAAGATGAGAAGTAAGGAGAAAATTGAATGACATATTGTATTTGTAGAGTGCCTGTCTTCTAGTTATGCCTCACTCCATTCAGTTTATCTACTAATTAGGACTCCTTGCTACAAGGAAAAGACAAGCAGTATTCTCTAGTTGATGGGTTGTAAAATTCAGGAAAGATTTCTGTTTTTTTCTCAGGTACTTCTTCTGGCTTTCTGTAGAAAATATTTTATAACCTAGAAAGACTTAAAGAGAGAAGAATTCAAGAATGAGAGAGGGGACATGGAAGGGCATCAGTGCCTGAGACAGCAGGAGCCAGGAGTGTGGACTTGGCTGAGAGGGCCAGCTCCATTTCTGCCCTGAATCTGTGCTGCCTGAATCTCCTTCATGATGTGGTCACTTGAGGCATTGTGACTTTCGATTGGCATATAATGAGTCTTAGTGCTAAATTAAAAAAAAAAAATTGATAGATGAGCGAAATATAATGATTATAAGGAAATATAAACCTTAAAGGGACAAAGGATCTACTAGCAGGGGAAGGAGGGAGGTTAGGAGGGCTGTTAAAGAAAATGAAAATGAGTGGGAGAGAACTATAAAAAAGACTAAGTGAAAGGGGAGGAAGGGGGGAAATTACAGGAAATCATAAAGAGCTTTTAAAGTGCCAAATTGAACAATTACATATGTTACTAGAACAACTAAGATTGTTTTAAATGTTCATTTAAAATGTATGGATTTAAGACAAAGGACATTATGCTATAAACTTAAAGGAAGTGGACATTTTAGACACTAAAGAACATGGAAATGATGTGGGGAAAAACCCAGGAAAAACATCATGCTAATAATGATGTGACAGATGAACAAAACCAGGATATCCAAATTTGATATTTTTTAATATCATGACTATTTTACATAAACTTTGATCTCCAACTGTTGGGTCAGTTAGCGGTGTGATATAAGCAAAAATTTAAATTAATATTTCTGCCTTTAAGTAGCTTGTAGAATTGCTGAAAAGTCGACATATACAATCACAAACATTAATGAGAAAATAAGGCGATATATAAACACTTGCCAAATGATTAAAAAAAAAATTTGTGCTGTGAATGTGTAATTGACAGGTGAATAGACTCATCTCTCACCAGCTCCTCCATTCCCCCAACCATTCACAATCCCACTGGCCCTTAACCTGCAGGTGTTCCAGAGACAGCTGCTTCCTTCACCCTGTTCTCAGGCCTGAAACCTGTGTGTCACTCCCAACATCCATT